GAAATTGGGAGTAAAAGCTTTGGAGAAACTCATCCAGGTGACGGACATTTTCAAGAAGAGCGTGATGACGACTACATCAGAGGTTTCCCGGTAGTCTCTTGGAATGATTCATCAATTCTGTCCGATGATTTCGTAAAAGGGCTAGGAGATGATGACACCAAGACATTTTCAAATATAAACGCCTTGGATGATCAGGTATTTTCTGATGATAAAACGTCATTTTATTTTTTCCAACTGATTGGTTCTGATGAGAAAGAACTACTGTGCCGAGCAGAATTCTGAAGGTGGAAATAGTCCCACAACTAAGTTGTCCCACCATCTAAGTTTGCCTAGTAGTTCATCCAAAGTATCTGCAATGGAAAAAATGTTGCAAGATTCAGTACCTTGTAAGATAAGAGCAAAACGAGGTTGTGCTACTCACCCACGTAGCATCGCAGAAAGGGTAATGCCAAACATCTCATTCTCTTGTCTTTTGTCATTAGAAGTGACGAATATTCCAATATTCTGTCATGTTTATCACCATTTGGCAAACAGATAAGGAAGTGGACTTGTGGTTTTCAATTTGAACATCAATGTGGAGTTTATACTCAAAATGAATTGTAATTGAAAATTTGATGTAATTTTTATAGGAACGAAGAACACGAATCAGTGAAAGGATGAGAAAGCTACAAGAACTTGTTCCCAATATGGAAAGGGTAAAGCTCTTGATTACATCAACTGCAGTAATTGTTAATCTATATACTTTAGTTTTTTCCTTTTTTGATAATGTTTTTTTAATTTTGCAGCAAACGAATACATCAGATATGTTGGATTTGGCTGTTGATTATATTAAGGATCTTCAGACACAAGTAAAGGTATACATAAAAACTTGAATTACAGTGGACACAATCCCTTAGCAATAACATCCACTTTTAGATCCTTGATAACGCCTCTTTGCTTTTCTCTTCGAATGTTTAGACCCTTTCAGATAAGCGTGCAAAGTGCTCTTGCTCGGCTACACAGAAATCATAGACAAAAGGTCCCCGTTGTAGGAATTCATCCCGAAAAAACAAAAGAAGTCTAAAACAGAAAAGTACTCGATTTTCTCTGGCACATATCTCAATAGATGTGGTTAGGACAGCATTTTGATGGGGGTGAAGAATAGAGATGCCTAAACTGATTATAATAGAACTAATAATGGCTTGTTCCATAGGAGTACAGTACAAAACTGAACATTGTAGAAAAAGAAAGAAACCAAAGCTTGTTCATTGTACTATTCAGTACTGCATACATATTTGTATATATTTTCACGTGGCTTATTGCACTTCGAGAAGCATTCAGCTTGATACCCTCTTGTTAACATTCTCCGTACTTTAGGAATGTTATACAGCAATACATCAATATCCTTATGATTGCAGACAAGTATTGAAAAAGGAAGAGGTGAAGCATCCTGTTTAAATTCAGTGGGATGCATTTTTTTGCTATATTCAAAGCAAAAAATGAATCTTCCCCCATTTCCCCTTTCGGCTTTTGCTGATATTATGTTGTTGTCATCATGATGTTAGCTGTTACGTTGAAATCCCGCAAGCATACTGGTTCGTTATACAAGTAATAATCATGATGAAAGAGTTATTATCCCACATGGAATAAAGCTTCATTCTACTGTATTTGATATATTTAAATTTGTGATTGAAACAAAATATAATTGGTTTGTATCTAATTACGTTTTATAACTACAAAAGCAATAAATAATTATTTTAAATCAAATGTGATGAACGTATTGGATTTCCGACCCCACTAATCAATTCTTAATTACAATCCTCAACTTGGGATAATTAATTCAATTCATACAATTGTGACGATTGATAGCTCTACTTTACTATTCTTTTTCAAGATATAATAAACCAATGTTTACCATGAGACTATCATATTTTCAGTCTGCATTCATATGACAAATATGCATTGAAGTTTAGGATTATCACACCCGACCGCATACGTTATGAATACTATTTCTAATATTTATTGCTTGTGTGTTCCATAAAATATGTTCCACCTACCGTGAGTTTTTCAATATTATGAATAAGTAACTTATTGTCCTAATGGTGCACAAGCATTAAAACAATGTGATTATGCATGATTATGGAATCATAAAGCAAGAATTAAACTAAAATTACCAAATCTTGAATTAAAAATTAAAAATTAAGAATCAAAAACTTTTGTCATCCATCCAATACAATTAAATTTAACCTAGCATATTAATGTAAGGATTACATAGAAAATAAAAGAAAGTCATTACCCAAATCATTGAAATATGAAGAAAATCTAGAAATCTTCGATTAAAGCTTTCAAATCCGGATCCAAGCGATGAATTCTTCATTCTTCGATGTAAATTCTCTCTATTTTCTCCCCAGAATTCGGATATCCCTCATTCTAGACGTAATTCTCAATTTATAAGATGTCAAAAAGATTGTCTTGAATTATTGCCAAAATGAAATAAGGAAAAGTAGATTTTTCCCCATTTTATAGTGAGGGCATGCGCACTAGCTAGGGCGCGCGCCTGAAGAATTTAGGCAGCCTTAGGCGAGGCTGCTTTGGTTTGGGGCTCGCACCTCGCCTGCACGTGGGGGCGCACAACTTAGTGCTCCTTTTTTGGGGGCAAACTTGGCCCCTAAACTTTCTCCAATATCTTTTTTTCTTCCTTTTCAATTTTCTCCAATGCTTTCGCTTCTTTTCTTGTCCAATTGAGTCCTTTCTTTCTCGGCTTTTCATTCCTCGCTCCAAGCCAATTTTTTTATTATTTGCCTTTTAATCCCCAAATTCTATATTTGCTTCAATTAAGCCCTTTTTTTGCTCCTTTATTTGCAATTCCATCGTATCTATTAGACCTAAAACACACAATAAACAACGAATTAAGCCATATTCCAATCCAAATATCCATGTTTTGTATAAGATACACTTATCATTAGCCTCTAGGAAACAACTTTAGATTATCTATTTTTGCTAGCTTGAATAATTTTCTATAGTACGTTTCCTTCTACTTCTGTAAGTGCTTTAACTTTCTTCAACCAATGAGATGAAAGTAATGCTAGTCCTTTGAAAATATAGTCTGAAATCTCTCTCAAGGTGTACATATATGTTATGCTATATATGTATGAACGCGTGCGAAATATTCATTGGGCTCCAACTGCCCTTAGCTAACAAAACTCAACCCTTTTAATGTTCTCGAATTCGAATGCTTTGGGCATGGATTATCCATATAAACTTTACAATGATTTGACTGCTGTTTCCGCGACCTCGAGGATGAAACCCGGTGATCAAAATATTGGGATTTGCATGAGGTGAGTGAATTGGGTTGTCATGTTGTATTTTTGAGCTATTGTTTGGCCCATGTTCAATGTGGTTAGTGTAGCTATTTTTTATTTTGTATGTTTGTGGGAGCCCTATTTTTTTGTTTATTGACTGTAATAAGAGGCATCGATAGGGAATTATTTTGTATTGGTTGTTCTTGACATTGAAATAAATTATTAAGTGTAGAATCTTGAGATGAGCAATGTGGCATTGTGGCTTCTCTTTCTCCTCCAATTCTCTCCAAGTGAAGCTTTTGCATCAGTATAAGTTCCATGTGAGCGCTAACCTTAGCTGTTAAAGCCTATTTTGCTGCCAATGTGGCCATTCTGGAGGGGAAAGATAACAAAGAACTATTGGAGAAGGTGAATAGGGATACGAAAAAGAGGATTGAAAGACAAGGAGCTGTTGTTAAATCATTCACGAAAGATACACGTTAATTTCTTCCTTCGAATTATTTGATTATTGAATTTTGTTTTATGGAAATGTATGTTTGTTTGAGTAATTTCTAGCCATATCTCGACCGGGCAAATAATAACTCAATTGTGTTATACCAACATGAAAATTGCCAATTTGTAATTATTTGCGGTGGACTTTTCGCATATTGGGATATGCTGTTTTTGGCAAAGGATGCCCAAGTTCAATGCATTCTTCCCAGCATCCAATGCCAGTGTCTTTGCTTTCCGAATAAAATTCCATTGCTGCTTTGAAGGAGAATCTATTGCAGTCATTTGATCATTGAAAGCATGGCTGAATTTGTGTGTGTTTTCAATGTGTGTATGATATTTGCTATTATGAATTTGAGTGTTCTTAATTGGGTTTGAATATATAAAAGTTTTGAGGGGATAGAGAGAAAAAGGTGAATGACTCGGTTGACGAAAGAGAAGGGGAGTCCACTATTATGGAGAGAAATGTGAATGAAAAGCGTTGCATTGAGGGCAAAATAAAAGGAGTTAAACTTGTATATACAAGATATAAATATTAAAATTTGTGCAATATTCATACTATCTACTTAAAAGTTTCACATCGTTTGTTTCTCGTAGATTTTGAATTCATTGGCACTTCTTGCCCATGCTTTTGTCAAATTTTTGTCAATCGTGTTCTATCACTTTTTAAATTAAATTTGTCATTTTTTTAATTTGTCACTTTTTTTACTGTTTGTCACTTTTTTTAAGAATTCTATCACTTTTTTTTAGTGTTTGCCACCTTTTTAGGTCATTTTTCTATTGTTCGTCACTTTTTAATAAAAGTAACATTCGACTTTAAAACATGATGGTGTAGACTGTGTTCAAATTGGAGCTATTGTACTTAACATGACCATTTTCCTGAATAGATTGTTTATCACTTTTTAATAAAAAAGTGACACTGTCAGAAGGGCCATGTGGTGGTGTTGGTAGTAGTTATTGGTAGTCGCTAGTGATGTGGTGGAGATGGGGTGGAATTTTGTTGGGCATGGTGGGTGACGATGGTCGACGCGACATGGTGGATGGTGATCGTTGGCACGAGGTAGAATGGATGGTGATCGGTGAATGCCGACATCAAGCGGCGATGGACTGCAGTGGTGGGTTTCTTGGTTGGTTTTAGGAGGAGGGGGTGGGAAGGAGGGCATGAACAACGAATTGATTTTTTTGTTTTTTATTTTATTTTTTAATTTTAATTCAAAGTTGCCATTACACCCCTTATAAAATTGGTCAAAGTTAATTTATTGGGTCAACTAACGATCAAATTAACATAAATCATCCTTTTGGATTCCAAGTACCAATTTTTAAAAGGTATGAAACTGTGGTTGGCATATAATGTAGGTTAAGGTAAAGTCTGCAAAAAATTAAAAGGTTTGGAACTGTTGTTGCAATTTTTCCTAAATAAAATGGTGTTTTAAGACAATTGTCACATCAAAAGAATAATAAAGTCAATTATGTACATTCTTGATGGGGAACCTTCCATAGAAAATTTGCAGATATGAATATTGTTAGGGAGACAAACCATTTTGGAGTTTGCAACAATAATTTTATCCATTGGCTTAGAAAGTTGCTTAACTTAATTTGAATTATTAATGAAGTAATTTAACTTGATATTAATTTTTTTTCTCTAAAATTACACTTGAAAGAATATTCATTTCCTAAGTAGAAACCTTATCAATAAATTTTGATACCTTGAGGAAATCTCCCAAAATTGAATTTTGTCCATTCTTTATTTTGATTTATGTTACAACTATAATTGTTCTTTCGAGTGATAAAAAATTTTGGCGACTTGACACTATATTTATTAGTGAAAGGGCCGAAGAGACTATCTGTAATCACGAGACTAATTGAACATAATGTATACACTTGCGACATATCAATTTAGTCCCGTGAAATTATTCTTGTGAAGTGTACATAAAATTGTCCAATAAGAAGAAACCTAATTTTTTTTGTAATAAAATTCTAAGTAACACTTTTCTTAAAGCATGTAATTTATTATTAATATAAAATATATGTACTTGTTTGATTTATTTCCTTTAATTCAATTTCCAACCATTTTTCTCCCGCAATTTTTTGACTTCCAAACCCCCTATAGATACACAAATATCTAAAAATCCCAATTTTGTAGGTTGAAATTCATACATGCAGAGATTTTTCATTCTTTTGTGTGAAAAAATTAGATCGTAAATTGTGCAAAAAAGAAGGAAAAAATTCAAAAAACAAAAAAAAAAAGCCAATGGATCGATCACCATATTCATCATCTTCATCAGAGAGTTCCCAGTTTTCTTCACCGAGCTCAACGCCGCCGAAAAATTCGCCGGTGGTGCTTTCTATTGAATGCTTAAAGGGTAGTTCAAAGGCGGGCGAGTGGACCGACGATATGCTACAGACCGGTGATATAGTGGAGGAAATCAGAATTGGAAATATGACTATGAAATCACCGTTCAAAAATGGGAAATCTGGAGTGCAGAAAATTCTTCGCAACTCGTTCAAGCAGAAGGAGACTTCGATTCATGTCCGAGTCAGGCGCGGCTCGGACGATTTCGCTGAGTTTCAGGCGTGTATTGTGCCCAACGATCAGTTTGGGACGAAGAAGCAGTACATGATGCGGGCCATTGATGACCCGAATTATGCTGTCGTGTTTTGTGATCGGACCGAAACTGAGTGCTTCCATTTACAAGGTAATTTCATGGCTTCATTTTCTTATTAAATTTCCTTTTTTTCTTTTTTGTTTAAAGGTTACATAACTTGTAAATTAAATTAGAAAAAAACAATTTGTTTTCTTGGATAAGCCATTAAATTTTTTTGGATGAAAAAGTTTGATCTAGTAACATCAAACTAGTACAAGCGTATTGGGCTTGTACTGGTCATACCCAAATAATTGAAGAAACGATTAGGAGATGAGTTTGTCCGGTCCGAGTCACCTAGGGATCGGCGTGCAAGCCAAGATGGGCCATGCCAAGAAGTTGCAAGTCGCCCTTGGCCTAACCCTTAACAAAACTCTCATTGGCATAGGTCATGTATAAGCTATCACAAGCATTTCTTAACTTTTTTGTTGACGTAGGAACCCGCAACCGCTACCCGCCATAGAGCCCCGACCACTGTGAGTGCGCACTAGGTAAACTTTGCTCCATGTGCAATAACCCGCAAACCATACAAGAGAGGTAAACCGCACTAGGCAGGCCCGTGCGACGGGCTCGACCAAGAAAGTGTTGGCGGGGGATTCGAACTCGTAACCTTTGGTCTACGCGTTCACCTGCTCCACCAACTCGACCACCCCCGAAGGGGTACAAGCATTTCTCGGTGATATGTTTGATAGAACTACTTTACGAGCATCATTTTCTTTTATCTAATCTCGGTTTCATCAAGAAATAATAATGTATCATTTTTTTTCTATTTGTGGCCTTCTAGATATTTGCTATATAATGACTTTTATTCGATTACATCACCCGCATGTGATCTTTTATTTTATTTTATCCTTTTTCATTTTTAATGGAAGGTCTCGTTCTCTAGTGTCATACAATCATAACTCATTGTAATTCGTTATTTAAAAGAAACAAATAATGTCTAGCTTTATCACGGACCATGACTTCGTCATTTTCAAGAACCAGGAGATAAATTTATCCGAGCTAACTTCAAAATAAGTTTATCAATTTCTTTTTAAAAAAAAAGGAAAATATTCCTTTGATGAGTGCTGTCTGCCTGTCTCATAGTTCGACTGGAGTAGAATATATATTTGATTTATCTTTAATTTTGTGAAGTTCGTTAAAAAGGTAGGCTGATAAGTGTTAACGGCGGATAATCTTCGAAGAATGGGATATTGTATTATGGAGTGGTGCTATATGTGTAAGAGAGATGGAGAGATGATCCATCATTTGTTTATTCACTGTGACGGTGTTCGTTGGATGTGGAATGATATTCTGACTTCGCAACATATGAGTTGTGAATTGCCAAGGCGAATCAAGGAGGTGATGTGGGTATGGAAGAGAAAGTTTCGAGATAAGAATAACAAGCTTATTTGGGATCTCATTCCAGGATGCATCGTTTGGTGTGTGTGGAGAGAACGAAACGGCAGATGCTTTGAAGGCCA